ATCTCCAAGGTATCGCAGCTTTGAACAACACATGTGGCGCTTCATTCACGAGGTTCCATTCCACACATAGACTCACGCGCTCAAACTCGAATTCTTGAAAGTCTTTGTTCATGGTCATCCCGGTTTTGTACAACTCGAGATGACACGTCCCGAATTGTACGTTCTATGTTTCCGAGTACACTCTATCGCAAAGCTTACGTGGCACAGTTATTCAGGTCCAAATATCTACTTGGCCAGAAATTAGCTAGAATCCCTCAGAAATCGGAACCTGTCGCTGAACCTACGACAGTGTTCCTCGCCTGCGAATCGTTGGAATGTGAATTCCCTACTTGACTAGCCGTTTTCACTGGCATACAACCGGGACATCGTTATCGCCTCTGAAGCTACGGTATCCTGCGTTGTCCTTGTGCTTCGTTGGGTGAACCAGGAATAGCACTATCTCGACAAATTCGAAATTGGGAGTGTCCTTCTGATAGTACGCAAGACGCATAGACAGAAACACGCACTTGGTTTCTGAGGTACCCATAAGCAGGCATCTACATTAAATGCTTGCATATCGCCATGCGAGATCTCGCGATTTCCGATCTATAGCATTTCGTTCATGAGCTAGTATGCTTCTCTATCCTCATTCCCAGAGTTTAAACGATGATTTGCCAACCGCATGAACTTTCACATTGAAGGCAGTCTTTCTGCGTGCATACTTTTGGTATGTCCATGGCGTATCTGACGGGCGTTTCCAGTTTCAAAATATAAAAGGATGTCCTCTTTGCTCGATGATGGCTTGGAACACCCTCCTTCCGTGTGCTCAATAAACACGGTTCACAATGATTTCGGCCTGGACATCTGTGGCTCTGTTGCTAACTTCTGTGACCTCGGCAGCTTTTAATCCTACTGGCAACACTAATGTGAGTGTTATGTGTTGTATATTTTTCGCCTAGACCATTCTGAAACGTAATTCACTCTCTAGCTCGTCGCGTAGCTATCAATAATACCTTGTACATCGTCCAGAATTACTCATCTTTACTTCAGCTACTGGGGTCAGAACTCATACGGAGCAACGCATACGTCTGACACGGCCAACTGGCAGACAAACTTGGCTAATTACTGTCAGGTACGTTTATCAGAACCTGCTAATTAGCATTGAGAGTTTAAGCTTAGAATTTCTAGGACGATACTGTTGACGTTTTCCCTTTGGCGTTTCTGGACGTGTTCTTTGGCATAGGAAGTCTACCAGAAATCAACTTCGCCAATGTGAGTCAAATTCACTCACCTCCCACTTCAATTTACTCAATGCCTCTGGTATCATGTTATAGATCTGTAACGATGTCGACGATGCGGTGTTTCCTGGAAGCGACTTAGCCAACTGTCAGTTTATGGCTACCGATATACAGACGTGTCAAGCGGCGGGAAAGATTATCACTCTTAGTATGGGCGGAGCGACGGGAGCAGATACTTTCACTTCGGAGTCTCAGGCCGAGGATTTCGCGGATCTAATTTGGGATCTTTTTTTGGGAGGGACATCAAGTACGCGACCATTCGGTGACGCTGTAAGTCTCTTCTCTGAACGACTGAGTATTCTGTTGATATCATTTAGGTTCTTGACGGGTGAGATACTCTTATTGAACTCATTTTGAAGTGTGGTAATGACACGGTGAAAGAATTGATTTGGATATCGAAGGTGGCGGAACCGCCAATTTTGCTGCGTTCGTGACCAGAATTAGGACCCTTGCAGAGGGTGCCAGCAAGGCGTGAGTCAACTTTGATGTCGCACATGGATCTGATGTTTCCTAATGACTATTACAGATATTACATTACCGGAGCGCCTCAGTGCCCGTAAGCTCTCTTTCCACATGTCCACCCGGAATTTATTTGCTGAATAAAGTCTAGTTTCCCCGATGCCAGTGCGCAAATTATCTTCTCTGTCTTCTCACGTCTAATCATAGTTAATATTATGCACTTCGTTCAGATCTTGACACGGTCCTCAATGCTGTTGGATTCGATGCTGTCTATGTTCAGGTGGGTGAAAGGCGTTTCCAGTGAGAGAAATCACCGAGAAATCACACAATCATGCATAGTTCTACAACAATTACTGCGAAGTGTCAAACTACAACGTAGCTGGGGTGAGTGTACCCTAGCTGTTTATCTGAACCTTCCCTGAACCTTCCATCTGATACATGTGATGGTGCGATCAAACAGGATTGGGACTTCTCCTCGTGGTGAGTGTTTTGTAACAAGATTTCGATAGTCACGAACTAAAGTTCAAAAAGGGACAACTGGGCTAAGACGACCTCCCCCAATCCCGACGTCAAAATCTACATTGGCGCACCTGCTTCATCGACAGCGGCTACAAATGGCTATGCTGACGCCTCTGCTCTTAGCACTATCCTTCAAGCAACGAAAGCCACGTATTCGTCATTTGGTGGTGCAATGCTTGTCTGTAGCCCATCTTTACTCTGTCTATTGTAACTGCTGAACTTGTCTTGTGGTTAGTGGGATATCAGCCAAGCCTATGGTACGTGTCATAAAGTCTAGGCCTCATATCGATTCCAATCCAAGGTTGGAATCTAGCAAATGGACGGTTCGATCAGGCGGTCAAGACAGCTCTACTCGGAGGGTCCAGTGCTCCGACCACCTCTGGAGGTTCCACGACGACGACTAAGACTACGACAACTAGCTCAAGTAGTGCTACTAGTACGACAAGTGTTGCAACCAACGGAGACTGTGCTGGAGTGGCGGCATGGGTATCGACTGTGGCCTATGTCGGCGGATCGCAGGTCACATACAAGTGAGTATACACATCTTCGGTCAAGATCTGACCTGATCCGCGTATGGTAGCGGTCACTTGTGGACGGCTAACTACTGGTCTGAAGCTGGTGGGTAACATAACTCTTTCTTATGTATATGATCAAGCTCAATTCCTCTGTATGGCAGATGTTCCTGGAGGTGTGTCAGTCTATTTAACATGACACTCGCAGTCTTACATCTTGGGCAGGAGCTTCTGGTGACTGGGCAGACGACGGCGTTTGTACAACTGATGCAACTTTAATCCCTGCTGTAGCTTCTGATACTTCAAGTTTATCCGCTGCGAGCATCACGGCTCACGTTTCCTCAACGGCGTCAGCTGGTAGCGTTAGTGTTCAGGCCGCTTCGTCTGCTGCTGCACCGACAGTATCCGTTTCTTCTGCTGTATCGACGACTAGCAGCTTCAAGACTAATGCATCTACGGCGCCAACGGTATCGGTCTCGTCCGTTGACGCCAGCGTCACCTCAGGCTCTGCCAAATCTGTGATCAGTGCTGCTTCAACTGACTCAGAAATCCTCAGCGCTACTACCTCAGCTAGAAGGTCTCGCTTTTTCAAATTCTAAGGGCTTTGGAGGTGTGTTTTTGTGAGTGTATGTACCAATAACTGTAGAATTGAGTATTTTATCTATTTATTGCTTTCAATAACGCATCATGCGGTCAGAATAAAACTTTATTCAATACTTCAATACTCCTTGAATACCACGCGGCATACCCCCCCGGTTCACAAATATTTCTGCATCCACTCTACTGTAGACTTGAAAGCCCCCTCCTTACCAGCCTTCACCATCGGGTCGCTCATATCCCCTCGAACAGCAAATCCGTGCTTGCATCCAGGAAAATACTCCCGCTTGTATCCTGGAGCAAACTTGCCATCTCCAAAAATTACATCAGCTTTAGCCTGTGCTTCAGCAGGGAACATGGCGTCTTCTTCACATGAGTTGATCAGGAAGGGCGCCTTGGATACAGAGCAATATTTCTACGAACGGAAATTATATACGGTGAGGATGCAGGAAGATTAGCTGTATTCCCGAGGCAGGTGACCGATTGACATACTTCAAGGTCCTCTGGAACCTTAAGTCGCGAAGGGTGAGACACGGCAGTGACTTGGGTGACGTTCTCAATGGCCAGAGGGACAGCATACGCAGCTTCAATATCGTCAATCAGTATAAGAGTAGCATGAAACAAAGTTCACACGAGTTCAAAACCAATTCCATTTCCATCCTCGCCTGAAATTGGTCTGCCAGTAATAGATTTGGCTCTTAACTCACCTCCAAAGCAATACCCAGTCGTCCCAAAGACCACGACACCTTTTTCCTTCAACGCTGCAACTACCGCATCAACAGCAGGGCGAGTAATTTCATATCCATGCTTCTCTCTCCATGCGTCTCTGTCGAATGTATTCTAGAATTTGAATATATGTAAGTCAGGGTATGTTTGAAGCAATATCCGGACAAATTGGTGTTATTTTCGCAAGCTGTGCGGATACATTTGGAAGACCCAGACATACCCCAGGTTGCATTGCATCTGCCGGGATGGGCTCGCCGAAAAAATAGTCTATTCCGTATGTCTATTACCTTGAATGTTTAGTGCTGTCTCGCCGAGTACAAGGGGGAAAATTGTGTCTTTCACACACTGACCAAGATTCCGTTATCTGCGAAATCATCGACAAGCAGCTTCGGGATCAAAGTTAGTGAATGATTAATTAAAGCCACATACAAGCCTTAGCTACTACATATGATACAGCGACATACCTGGTTGTTGATCAACTGCATACCGAAGACGTCTGAAAGGAACAAAAGAACTTTGTCCTTGGGATACTCAATGCCGGAGGGAATACCAACATAACAGTCGATCCCACCGATCTTTTCCCATTTACCTTGAAATAAGGTTGTCCTTATCAGTGCAAAGGATAGGATGGAGTGAATCTGCAAAACAGTGCACATCACCTTTTGGGGTACCTTCATGAGTAACACCTGCCAGTGAGTAACCAAATCATGGAGATGAGCTTTTAATCGATGATATCTATGCGGCAAAACCTTTGAAGCAATCATCACAAAAGCTCATGTTTAGAGAGTGCTGGTATCTGCTGGTGTACGGAGTTGTCGAGTGTATGGGAAGGAAGCTGAAGGAAGACTGACGGTATTACTAACGTAAAACACAGGGAATCTAGTACAATCTGTTAGGAGGATTGCAGAAAGGGGGTATAGCTCAATTGGGAGAGCAGCAGACTGAAGTCTTTCTAGATTAATCTGAAGGTCCCGCGTTCGATCCGCGGTACCCCCAATTTGTAGAACTGTTTTGATAACTTGAGTTATTTTCTTTTATACGACATCGTTCCGAGATGATATACCAACAAACTGTGTGTACCGCACATGCGAAGCAAACCAGACAGATTAAGGATGTACGAAATTGTGGCGGAGATCGCCTTGCACTTCACAGGTAAGGTATAATACATATGTCAAACGTACAACCGTAAAGTATATCGACCGGGATGTGTGCTAGATGTTACATTGGTTCGGCGAAAGCATTACTCCTGTGGCAATGCCCCGAAGGCACTAAATTTTTCAGCAAAAATCAGCTGGCCAATCCTGAGCCGGATCCCGTGTAAATGAGGGGAATGAGAATAGGTCGAATGGACCGTTATTCCGGATAATGAGTACACTGAGAGGAGATAGAGAGCGCGCTCGTAGGTGATTTGGTAATCTTTGAAACTCCGATCGCAGCCTGTATTGCTTGATGAGCAAAAGACGTCGACATTACTGCAATCGATAACTTTCTTTCATCTAACAAACAAAATTTTACCTATGGACGACCACGGTGGCACTCTTATGATGGAATCGATGGACGGCAGTGGCGCTTCTACCAATGGATCTGTGTCAAAACGACGAAGAAAGAACGACGGAGAGCCCAGCGAGCCACGAAGGCTAAGAAGATCACACGAAGCCTGCACAAGGTGCAGAGGAAAGAAGATAAAAGTGAGTTTACTTTTAACACAAAAATCGGGAATTTGCGAAGAATAATTCTACAACACGGGCGCATCCGTCGTCGGCAACGCCCGAACCATATTCGCTTATTACTTTTTTCTTCGTTATTTAGTGCGATTCTAAACATCCACGATGTACGGCCTGTGTCACTGCTGGAGTTGCCTGCAACCAGGAAGACCGCCATAGGCAGACAACAATCGCTAGGGACCATACCGAACGTTTGGAACAAATTGTTTCCCAGTGTGATGCCCTGCTCAAACGCCACATACAAGGCTTTAGTCTACAGACTATCGATGACCTCTGTTCCAGAGAAGGAATAGACATATCTACCCTCCAACCTGTCCAAAATCTTCCGATTCAAACTAGCAGTAGTTCTCAGCCAGCTCCGGCGATGAATCCAGCCCCTCCGCCTCCTCCTCCCGGTTATTTTGCGCATCCGCCTCCTCCAGGTGTCGGTTATTACCAATATCCTCCGTACATGTATCCTGCGCCTCCTCCATTCCAATTGTCTCCCCTTTCGGCTCCTCCGGCACATCCTGCCGCTACCATTCCCGGCCAGGATCCAAAATCAAACGACATGTCATCAACCCATGCACTTGCCAAATCATTTGGCGTTGCTCCACACATTGTCAACAATGCTTCTGCATCCCCCGCTCCATTATATCACTATCATCCACCTGCTGTCGTATACAACAGCAGCATCACACCACTTCCTTCTTCTTCCACCGCTACTGCCCGTCTTGCCGAAGAGGATTTAGCGGTAGGTTCTTCAGGTCTGGACTCTGGTCGTGACCGTGTTGTCCAACTTGAGATGCCTGCCCCCAGGGATACTGCCAAGTGGCGGGTAGTTTCTGTATTTCGTTCTCAACATTTTTCATCTACACCATCTATGGATATATGGATTCCCAACGACCGCAATACTCTCCTTGAAATCGTCGATGTCTACTTCACTCAACTCAATCCTCATCGTCCAGTGTTTTTCCGGCATCAGTTTCTGGAGTCGCTCAACCAGCTATACGACGAGGGAGCTTCATCTAGGCCTGTTTTTGATCCTGGTTTTATATGCTCCCTTTATCTGGTGCTTGCACTCGGGACTCTCAGCGAGCTCAATAGGAGTGGATATCAGGGTGAAGCACCCACCGGCGATAGTGCTGCCGACCATGAAAACGATGACAGTCTTCTGTCCCCACCCTCACGGTCAGGGAAGGGGAAGAGAACAGCAAAATCTGCCACAACTACTTCAGATACAGGAGGTTCACGCCTCCCGGCTGATTGGCCAGCTCACGATGAATTTTTTGATCGTGCTTTGGCAGTAAAGCCTGAGCTTCGAGTAACGCTGAGCAGTCTCCAAGCATTAATCCTGCTCCATTGGTATCTCTATGCTGAGGCATGTTGATATGATGCTCGTCTGCTTCCGAACTATGCTGATAATTTCCTTTCACAGCGTCAAGGTCGTACGCTATGGCGTCTCGTAGGCTCTATCGTGCGTTTAGCTATCGAATTGGGTCTCCACCATGATCCAACGACTCAAACGTTAATCAAGCCTAAACCGTCTTCCTCTTCACCTTCTGCAACTGCAGATAATGGCGACACGGCATACGAAGATGTCCCCACATTCACCCCACAGGAATGTACTCTTCGCATTTGGCTTTGGTCTATAGTCTTAGTACATGACCGCGGAACAAGTATACTTTTGGGTAGGCCATTGGCTATCGCTCCCAGTGACTCGAATACTCCTAGACCTTCTAATCGGTCTGGTGAAACCATATACACTGTCGCAGGATCCAATGTCAAGCAGCCTACTGTGAATGATCACATATCTGAACACTTTTTGCTTTCGGCTCCAATCGCAGAAATTCAAGCCGATATCATTATATCCTTGTACAGTCCCACCAGACAATCAAGTGAAACCCTCCTCCGTAACGCTAGCCGTATCATCAAGTCAATCGACCTTTTCCGCCGTTCCCTCCCGCCCAAGTACATGGATTACTTCACCGGTACCGCCGCCTGGCCTATCTCCAAACGGCATTTTCTTCTAGACAGTCTCGATGAATCTACTGGATTGACTCTCCTGAAACTCGCCATATCGCGCATTCTTCTTCTCCGTGCGTTATTCAGCTCCAAAGAATTGGAATATACAGAACGAAAAAGGGCGCTTGTCGATGCCATTGTACAGGCCCACAACGTTATTGCAATTCATACTGTGCTTGTGCGCTATCCTGAAGTAGGATTTTTCACGAGTCCAGTCCCGTTGCACATTGCTGCCATGGTCATACTTTATGGAAGGATGAGCAAATGCGACGTGGGCATACCTTCGCTTATTGATGGAGAAGGAAGTGATCATGAAGATGGGGGGAGTAATGCGGTGAGGATACTGATGGAAGACGTTTGGCTGGCTTTAGATATGCTTCCACGCTTCCGCTGGCGTTGGGAAACCGGGAGCGGTTCTAGCGGAGGAACAACTCCGCTCATTGCCAAACTGGCGGAAGAGGTGATGGAGACTTCTTTGTCTGAAGCTGGACTACGTGGGCTCGGAGCTCCAGATGAATCCGACAAGCGCGGTTCTAATGACGCTACCGAACGTGGCCAAAATGGGAGAAGTCGAATGATTGCAGGTATCGGCCGACAAGGACCAGTTGGTCCACCAGTGTTAATACCAGAACCAGAGTGGGTGGAAGATGCTACTAGCCCAAACCGGGGGAAAAATACTGGTAGCACTCCAGTCACGGCTAGTGGCATGTGGGGACCTACTTGGACCGAGACCGTCCCGAGTCCCAAAAGTCAACAAACTACACCAACATTGCAAGCAGCGTATCCGCCATCTTCGTATCCTCGGTCATCTGCCAGTGCCCCTACTGGAGTGCCGTCGCACCCATATCCCCCTCCGATTCCTACATCGAGCCCTACGCATACTGATAATTCGTATCCCCATCCTCAGTATACATTCAATCCACCAGTGTTTGGTCCCCAGCCTGTCAACGGAACAAACGAGAAACCACCCAAAACTACCTCTTCGAATGCTCCCCCTTCCGCCACTCCAACGCGGAGCAATGGAATGCAGCCTTCTCTTTCAACTCACATGATGGAAGTTCCTCATAGTCTTTTTTATCCAATCTATCCAGATGGCGTTCCCGTGCCTCCAGAAGGTGTTCATAGATCTTCCACCGGGACTCCTCGTGCTTCTAATGGACCCCTAAGTCCGCCTCCCCAACCACCGCGGCTATCTAGAACGACCACTTCGGGTTCGTCTGCAGCCCAAGGCAGTGGGGCAACGAATTCACTCCTTGCTGCAGTAGCGGTACAAGCCCGTGCACACGGAGGACAGCAAGGTGCACCGGATATATACATGAATGAAGAGAGGGGAATTCAACCAGGCCATGCTCACCCATCGGGTGGCGGGTTTGTGGCTCTGAACCCTCACGGTTCTTATCATGTTCATACAGGTACGCCGTATTTACCCCCTCATCATTTCAATCAAACACTTACCGCTCAATCCTCCGCAGATGGGCCGCCACCTTCTGCTCATCAACACACCTCATCTCAGTTACACCATGCCGCGGTGAATAGCCCGTATCCACTTCATCATCCTGCTCATGGTTCTATGCCGCCACCCCCTCCTCACACCGTTTGGGCGAGTCATGGGGTAAGTGCTCGTTTGGTTCTGGGTTACCATGTCCACTCACTTGTTTGTTCTTCAAGCACACGCGACCAGCGGGCTATGCTAGTCAACCTTCCTGATTACCTTGGTGCTCGAATTTAATCTCTTTGTCAGCCTGTTCTAATCTTCTCGTGGTATGTAAATGATGTACATGTAGGTTAAACGCATTATCTTTCCTCCAGATTTCGAAGAAAATATCAGTCGCTCATATGGAAATTCTTCGGTTCGAGCACACGTCTTAAGCCATTTACATAAGTTCCAATAGGTTATAGTGATAGTCCACTCCAATTTACTCCAATTCGAGGACTTTACAGTCCTCCTACGGTGTTGCTTGAGTGCGTCCGCACACATCAGACGCGATGTGTGTAGCGTAGACCCTGTTCCTAAACGGAACCGTACCAGTTCATCCACCTCCCCGTACATGTAATGATCGAACGACCATAAAGCCCAGACCGATTTATTGAACCACTGATAGAAGTAGACTTTCGCGATATTTGGATCCACTTGGTCCAGCTTTCTCATTTTTTGGATCCCCCGCCACCAGCCACAGGATGTTTCACTCCTCCACGAGGCCGCATGCTATGAGTCGTTCAATATCGAGCAATCCTGAGTGTCCACCAAAAAGTTACATACTTTGGTTT